CTTTACTGACAATATTTTCCAAAGCTCTATTAACCTTAGATTGGTCTTTAAATAACTTAGACCCTAAATGGTATGTGTCTGTGTGTGTGTATGTGGTATATGTGTGTTTTGTGTGGTTTATGTGTGTTACTTGCTTTCTAAAATAATAAATGATTCTGTATTATTTCCTGAAAATTCTTAATCAGTACATACATTTTTAAAATGTTAGACATGATGTTCTCTTTATTACTTGTCTTGCTGGCTAATCTAAACTCTAAAAAAAATTGTTTTTCTTTCTTTAAAATTTCATGCTTGAGGCTGTTTTGATCAGGCCTAGAATTTGGGAGACTCAAGTTTGGTATGTAAGACTGTGCTGATACCTATGTTAGAATGAACAGTAATTAATAATAGAAAGATAAGGTAAGGAGCCCACTAGTGGGGCATGGCTTTGGGTCCGGTGATGGAGATTTTTTCCAGGAGAGGTCTGAGATGAGAAGCAGCGTATTTCAGTATACCCAGAGAAGCTCATTTTCTTGTTTATGTACTTACGTTCCTCCAAATCATACATGATATGTTTTTAAACCTGAACGTCAATTTCTTTTCCTGTGATTGGAGTGGTTTTGACCTATGCCCAAGGATTCCACTTTTTAGAGTCAACGTAACTAAGAAGTTGAATGAATAATTACAAGGTTGCTTAGTGACCACTGAAAAACAAGAAGGAAAATAAATTGTCTAAAAGGATAACTGATATTTTAAGTAACTTCTCAGAAGGCCACCCCACAACAAGAATTCATTTGTCTTATGCTGGAACTATTTGTGCTTCTCTGGTGTAAGTTTCTTTCTTTCTCTCTGTCTTAAAATCGAGTGCATGTTCAGTGATCTTTTTTTTTTAACCTTATTTTCCTTTGTGTAGCAGCGCATTTTTGTTGATAGACTTTTTTTTTTAAACATCTTTATTGGAGTATAATTGCTTTACAATGGTGTGTTAGTTTCTGCTTTATGACAAAGTGAATCAGCTATATATATACATATATCCCCATATCTCCTCCCTCTTGCGTCTCCCTCCTACCCTCCCTATCCCACCCCTCTAGGTGGTAATAAAGCACTGAGCTCATCTCCCTGTGCTATGCGGCTGCTTCCCACTAGCTATCTATTTTACATTTGGTAGTATATATGAGTCCATGCCACTCTCTCACTTCATCCCAGCTTACCCTTCCCCCTCCCCGTGTCCTCAAGTCCATTCTCTACTTCTGCGTCTTTATTCCTGTCCTACCCCTCGGTTCTTCATAACCTTCTTTTTTAGACTCCATATATATGTGTTAGCATATGGTATTTGTTTTTCTCTTTCTGACTTACTTTACTCTGTGTGACAGATTCTAGGTCCATCCACCTCACTACAAATAACTCAATTTCGTTTCCTTTTATAGCTGAGTAATATTCCATTGTATATATGTGCCACATCTTCTTTATCCATTCATCTGTCGATGGACACTTAGGTTGCTTCCATGTCCTGGCTATCGTAAATAGAGCTGCAGTGAACATTGTGGTACATGATTCTGAATTATGGTTTTCTCAGGGTATATGCCCAGTAGTGGGATTGCTAGGTCATATGGTAGTTCTATTTGTAGTTTTTTAAAGAACCTCCATACTATTCTCCATAGTGGCTGTGTTCATACACTCTTTAAACATGCAAATACACACCTGATTGGTCCATCTGGCTTTCCTGTTAGCCTGGAAGACATTCTGTCTCCTGTTGGTATATATTTATTTAATCAGGCAAAACTCAAGATTCTAGCTAAGGCCACTCAACTCTGACTGATTATCACTGTTTTCTTATGTATCTTTCCTGAAATATTATGTTTGTAGCTATCCTCTCTTTTTCTGTAAATGGTAGCATACTAAGTACGCTGAACCCGGTGTTTTTTTAAGTTATATTTTTGAGATTGTTTTATATCAATACCTTATCAGTTTGCCTTATTCCTCTTAATGACTGCAGAGAATTCCATTATTCAGGTGAATGATAATTTAAGTAATTAGTCCTATATTAACAAACATTTACATTGTTTCTAGTCTTAAATTTTTAGTGTACACTTTCAAGGATATCAGAGAACAGATTCCTAGAAGCATAATTGCTAAGTCAGTTAGGTTGGCATTTCAAATATTGGTGGATCTCTCCAAATTTCCCATCAGAGACTATACCAAACTCTACCAACAATTTGAGAAAGTGTTGGTTTTCCTGCCTCCTCAGCCAATACCATCTATTTTCAAATTGTTTATTCTAAAAAATGGCATCATATTATAGTTGAAAATTGAATTTATTTTAATTTTTAATTTAATTTTTTATTGAAGTATAGTTGATTTACAATGTTGTACCAATCTCTGCTGTACAGCAAAGTGACTCAGTTATACACATATAGACATTCTTTTTTAAAATATTTTTTTCCATTATGGTTTATCACCAGATATTGAATATAGTTCTCTGTGCTAAACAGTAGGACCTTGTTGTTTATCCATCCTATATATAATAGCTTGCATCTGCTAATCCCACATTCCCAGTCCTTCCCTCCCCCACCTCCCTCCCCCTGGCAACCACAAATCTGTTCTCTATGTCTGTGAGTCTGTTTCTGTTTTGTAGATAGGTTCACTTGTGCCATATTTTAGATTCCGCATATAAGTGATATCATATGGTACTTGTCTTTCTCTTTCTGACTTACTTCACTTAGTATGATAATCTCTAGTTGCATCCATGTTGCTGCAAATGGCATTACAATATTTCATTCTTTTTTATGGCCGAGTAGTATTCCATTGTATAAATATACCACATCTTCTTGATCCCTTCATCTGTTGATGGACATTTAGGTCGTTTCCATGTAGTTAGCTAGGCTAATATTAGGGATGGGAGGAACTCAGAAAAGGAGGCAGTGGACCCATGCATGCAAAGATGGGAGCAGAGAGAGCAGAGAGCATCTGGGACTGGTACACAGTCCAGTTCAGAGTGACACTATCAGGACAGGGTGGAGGGGAAGTGGGCAGGGCTGGCACACCACCCACTAATGTGGCCTTGAAAATCAGTGAAGGGGTTAATTGAACTTTGCCCTAACGACAATATGATGTCACTGGAAGACTTTTAGGTAGAGGAAAACATATCAGAAGTCTCTGGGGGGTTGAGCTAGAGAATTGATTGGAGGAGGGTACGGAGAGCTGTCCAGCAGGAAGGAGGAGTTAGGAACCTGCCTAGTAATTCAGGTAAGATGACATTTCCTTGGTGTCATGATACACTAGGTCGTCACAGATCTCATTTAACATGACTGTTGAAGCACCTAATATGCCCATTCTCCTCTGAAAATGGAGCACGCTGCATGGGGGGTGGCGGGGGGCTGAGGGGCAGAGACCTATAATCAGGCACCCTGGGTGTAATACCTGGTTCTGCCAATTTCTAGTTGCATAAGCCTGAGCAACGGGGAGCATACATTTGAGGGGTAGAGTAAAAAGCACAGAGATAGGCATGCAAAGTGCTTAGCACAACATCCGTCATGTAAAAACCAGGGCTTAATAACCACTAGCTGTTTTTAAAATTATTTTTATTATTATTACCTTTCCTCACTCCACTCTGGAAATGCCCTGACCCTTGGCTTATTATAATGTACACATGCAGCAAATTACAGAATGAGGGAGTTGAGAGAGCTCTGAGGTATCTTATTCAATCTCCTAATTCTAGTCGTGAGAAAATAAAGCGGGGGGCGGGGGGAAATCAAGCGACTTGTTTGGGGTCAGCAACACCGACCTGAAATTCTTCCCTGGTCTGGTTCTCTCATTGCCTGTCCATGTATTGAATACGTATGGATTTTGGTTACTACACTTAGCCTTCAGTATAAATCTTTCTCGTGTTTGTTGACAGCAGTGATTCTTGCGTGAAAATTCCTAATTTGGAAAACTATCTGTCTCACACACTTTGTTGCACAGCATTCAAACCTCATAGAGTTTTCAGTAACCTTAGAAACAAAAACAAGAGACCGGTAGACAATTAAATCTGCAGAGACGGCAAGCTTGGCTTTGTGTCGGCAGCGGGGTCCGCAGAGGTTGGAAGCCCCTCCTCGAGCGGGCCCTTCCTTTCCTTTCCGCTCTGCCGCGGCAGCGCCCAGCGCTCACGTCCTCACTTTGCCTCCTGGATTCTCTCAGTCTTTCTGCTTCTCTGAGGGGCCTGTGATCCGATTCAATCTATGAACAGCTGTTCAGGAAGATCTTTCTATGTGTAAGGAAGGCTCTGGGCTGGGGGATTCAGGGATGAAAGGGTCCTAGACCTCGCCCTGCGAGACGAGGTAGGCGCTTCGCCTGCATCTTAAACTGGACCTCCTCCTCATCCCTTAATTTACCCTGCTCACGAATTCTCTCCCAGGTTCGCCCCGACCACGCGCCCGCTGCATTCCCCCCGAGGTTTCCCACGTAGGGAGGCTTCTGCCAGGCTCCGGCTCTGCACGGTCGGGTAGCGGCGGTGGGGAGAATGCCGCCCCGGACATCAGGCATCAGGGGACGGGGACCAAGGTGGGCGCTACCGCTCCCGGGCCGGCTGCCTGGGCAGGGCACCTCTCCCTTCCCGGTCTCCGCTTCCTCGTGTCTTAACCGGGGTGCGGCACGCTGTGCTCCGAATTTCCCTTCGGAGCTCTCCTCTCTTGCTGCCAGTGTCCGCGCGCCCCCAGCCCAGCGCCTCCTCATCACCTGCCCTCTGTCCATCTCTCCGGCGACCCGACGCCTCAGGGCAGAGTTCAGGTTCGGCCCTGGCCGGTGCCCCCGATTTAGGAAAAGGCCAGGGGGGCGGGAGGGCGCGGGTTTGCAGCGGGGAGGGAGGGGCAGGCGGAGGGAGGTGGCCTCTGATTGGTCGGGGAGGGGGAGTGGAGGCACGGAGTTTCCCACAATGCCCCGGTGCGGGGCCGCCGCGGATGGATGCTGCGGGAAGGGGCTGCCATTTGCCGCCCCTGCCAGCGGCGCGCAGACCTGTTCGCTCTCCGGCGGTGGCGGCCGCCGTCAGCGCTGTTCGTCTGTCCGGCTTCTGCAGCGGCGCCGCCTCGGCTCCCTCCGCGGCCGCCGGAGCGGTCGCCATGAACCCCAGCTCCTCGGCGGCAGAGGAGAAGGGGGCAACGGGCGGCAGCAGCAGCAGCGGAAGCGGCGCCGGGAGCTGCTGCCTGGGCGCCGAGGGCGGTGCGGACCCGAGGGGCGCGGGGGCAGCGGCGGCGGCTGGGGCCGCTGCCCTGGAAGAGCCCGGGGCCGCCGGCCCGAAAGAGAAGGACGAGGCGCTGGAGGAGAAGCTGCGGAACTTAACTTTCCGGAAGCAGGTCTCTTACAGGTAGGAACGCGAGCCCGGCAGCCGGGAGGCAGGTGCCGCCGCGGGGCGCGAGACCCTCTCTGCGCCCCCGAAAGGCGCTTCCTCGGACTTGGAGGCACCTGGCGCCCTCTCTCTCTCTCTCTCTCTCTCTCTCTCTCTTTCCTTCTCCCTCCCCCTTCTGGGCTATGTGTTCACTTCTCATCCCATCCTTCTGGGCTGGAGGGAAGCTACGTGCGCCAGGTTTCCCCCCCGGAACTGGAGAGAAGACTGAGTCCCTGAGGTCAGAACAACAACAATAAAAATGCGTGTGTGTGGGGGGGGGGGAGCGGGGTGCACACACACATATGCCAGGTTTTCTTGAGAGAAGTCCTCAAAGTTGTCCCTACGCCGGGGTCATCTTCAACCACTCCCCCTACCTTGCCGATTTTACTGGGTGAACCTTTGGCACTAACTTGATACTTGAGATCACGGGCAGGCAGAAAAGAACAGCGTTCTATCCTGAAGAGAAATCCTTATGGAAGTTGAACCTGCATTGAAATATCCCATTAAGGAAGAGTCGTTGTGAATCTGTGTCTGTAGATACGCAACTGGTTCCGGAGGGTCACACGTACACGTGGTCTCTCCCTCTCTCCTGGGTGTGCCCAGAAGGACGACTTGGGAAGCCTGCTGGCGAGCAAGGGATGGGGGAGAGAATGGGGCCGTGCTTGCCCCTAGGATGGGTGTATTTACAAGACAAGGACAGTGTGGGGTAAATGGCCACCGAATGATGCCAAAAGACTACCCCAAATTGTGTCAGGATTCACAAATGAGAAATGAGGATCCAGTAGGTTCTCTCCTCCCCCCTGCCCCCCACCTTAAAGCAAGAATAAAGATATTGATAGATTTGGAGAGTTTTGGAGACCCTTACTGCTTGTTAATTTTAAAAGTTGAGGTGATAAACAAGCATAGAATTAGAAAGATGTGCACTTCCTTGGCCCTGGAGTATTTCTTGAAAAGGGGTCAGTAAAAGCATCCTTGTGACCCTCCTCATTTTAAGTTAGCAGTCCTTTCCAGAAGTGCTTATAAAGTTTTAAGCCTGTCACACCATGTGGTGTTATGTAAGCAAAAGCAGATGACAGAGGTGTGTGGGTTTGTGAGGGTGTGTGTTGTATTCCTGGGAGCATGTGTGTGAATCACCGGGATCCCCATTGGCATTGCCTGGACTGGAGGCCCCGGTCACTAGGGCATGTGCTCTGTGTCTCAGTGTTGGCTCCTGACGACTCCGAAACGGCCTTCCTGGGGAGGGTGTTACTCCCTCATCCCCCATGTGCATTTTGTTCACTGTGCATTGAGGGAGTTTCCCACCTGACTTGCTCTTTTAGTTACTCATGTAGATCAGGACGAAATGGATCTTTCTCTTTATATTTTTGGTTCCTAAAAATAGACACGTGGTGGAGAGTGAGGTAGCTCTAGGGAGGTATGCTAGGACACAGGCAGTTCTACTTCTTAGCTATCATGGCCTGTCTGGCCCTTAGGGGACCAGGGGCTACATTCAGCCTAATTTAGGAACTGCGAGTTGGAAGGGACGGTTGATAATGCAGAGCACATTGTGGGTCTGGGCTCCTGGGCCCAGAATCGTTCCTGTGTCGTTGGTGTTCATCATCGTGACACCTCACTGGGTAGGGCTACAAAGCCAGAGTTTGCAAGGGAAATCATTTCAGCTGCTTCTTGGCAGGGGTCATTCCCTGAGCCTCTCTCTTGGAAATGAGTACTCTGTGAGGCCATGGCTTTCTGGGTTGCATGCTCACACATGCATGTGTAAGGGTGTGCACACGCAAACATAGACATCGACCCAGAGACGCGGTGTTTTTCTAGCAAAAGGATAACGCCGCATCTGCCTTACAATCCACAGAGGTGGATCCCACTTTGTGAACATCATTTCCTTTTAAATAAAGCTTTACAGTCCCCAATTCAGGAAGGCTCCTGCAACAGCATCACCTCAGGTGGCTGGTTAAAAATGCCCACCACCCCACGCTTACAAAATCAAACTCTCTGTGGGTAGGAATTTTTAACAGTCTCCTCAGGCAATGCATAAGCACACTAATATCTGAGGATTGCTGCTCTGCTCCTTGTTTCCAAAGGCTGAACAATTGATCTTTGAACGCATAAGCCATGCCCAGCCAAACAAGGCCAGGCAGTCCCAAAGTCAGAGGAAAGACAGCAGAAGGTAGGCATTTCATCTGGCACGTGTTTGTCCTGGGCAGCCTGGAGAGTGTCTCTATTTCGATGATGGTGATGTTTTAGAGTCATGGTGAACGGCCTCTACCCATTCAGCAGGGAGCCATTTATGTTGGGCTCAGTTGTAGCTGGGCCTGGCCGTTTCGCTGGTGGGTTAAGGAATGGTCTGAAAGAAAAGAGCAGCTTTGGCTGGAGCTGGGCATTGGCTTCTCAGTGAGGACCACATCCCCTCACTTCTGGGGGGCACCTGAGGATGGCTTCTGGTGGAAGTTGATGGAGAGGGGTCAGGAAGACCTCACAGAATGGAATCTAAGTGAAGGGGTTGAGTTAGGGTGTGAAGTATGGCTGCTGTGTAAGGGGGATCATTTGAGGTGGGGAAGAAGAGAGATCTGCAGGTGGTCAAAAAAATCTTTTGAAGAACATGGGTATTTGCGGAATGACACTTGACAGGAGAGAAGAAGGGGGCTGGGGGAGATGGTGTGCGAGTGCGTGTGTGTGTGGGGGTCTCATCTGCTCCTTCTGTTGCTAAGGAACATATAAGCTAGGGTTTAAAAATAAATGAGGAGTGGGTGGGCATATGCAATGACTCCTGTCTTTTTAGGAACCAGAGCCCTTTACAGAAAACCTTTAAATAACCATTTCTGGAGGCAGATTATTCATTTTGCTCGACTTTTACTTTGTTAAGTAAAATAAACTCCTTTATATACCCCTCGATTTCCCCTCATTATCTTCTCTTTCTTTTTTGGGGAACCATTTTTCTCATGAGAATATTTCCTTTATTTCAGGTTCTGCTCCCCTAGAGCAAATAGTCTCCGTAGATTGTAAAGCTGAAGGTTTTAGAAGGCAGTGCAAGTGAGCTGGTACTTTTCTCTTAAAATTACTACTTCCTTTTTCTTTGCAAATTATGGTGCTGCAACAGATACATATGTGCCGATGACTATGTAATGTGTAGGAACTGTTTTTTTTTAACCACTGTAAGAATTCCCATTAAAGTCAGTAAAATTTAAAAAAAATCATTTAGAAACATGCAGGGGAGGGGAAGGAGAAGGTAGCTGATGTTCACTGTCTTCTGTGTACAGGCACTGCGCTAAGTATTCTTGCATGTTATATCTTATTTACTATTCAGTGACAGTTTTATGACGTGATTATGGTTATTTCCATTTTATAAATAAATGGACCTGAGGCTTAGACCTTGGGTAAGAGGCAGCTTTAAACCCAGATCTGACTCTAAATGACATTCTCTTTACACCCCATCATGCTTCCCTAACCATTCACTTCTGGCTCGAACTCTTCCCTTGGGTATCTGTGTTTGCATGGGTGTGTGCAGCGTAAGCTGTTCTTTGATCTCTTCCGTAATATATCACAGGTCATTATTTATTATCTCTTGTATACTTTTTTCTTTGGACTGTGTCCCTTTGGCCATATAATTTTAGGTAACTCCTCTACTCTTTCTGAGATAGAAATGAATATAAATTCATGATCACCAGAAAATATATTGCTTTTGCTTCTGAGAACAAAACCACCTGCATGACACCTGCCATCTCTGTGAAGATACCCAGGTTAGAATTTTATACGCCTTTTAATAAAAACTACACAGGAGTTGTGTAGGTGAACCTAGATCCAGTGAAGAGCTGGCCTGTCTGTACCTCTTTGAGCAGCACAGAATAAATATTGAAGTGTGATTTTGTTTGTAAGGAGGACTGGACAGTTACCATTACTTATGAGATAGTAATGCCTGTGCTTCAGTTTCTCTACTTATAAACCAGGATGGTAATACCAGACCTTCCTGAAAGGGAGTTTTTGGTATGAGATAAAAGTAGCAGCAAGGAGCTTTTACTTCTTAGATTATGCTGCAAGGTAAAAAAGGGTCTATCACTCTTTACAGGTTGATAAGAACAAAGTATTTCCGTTTTGAGTATTATCCTGCAACACAAGTTTGTGATTTTTAGGAAAGACTATTGGAATGTTGAAAGCCAAGTAGGAGAGCATGGACATTGTTCTTCCTTGTATGAGAATCAATATTGTATGGGGGGAAGTTTTCTTTTCCTGAATATCAGTATGAAGCATCCTCCTTTGTAAATACTTTTATTTTATTTTTGAATTTTTTTGTCTGCTCTTTACACATTTGTTTGATATTTAGAGACTTCAGGATCAGATTAAAACCTTCATTCTAGATTCTCTACCTACTGCCCCTGGACTAGAGTTTCCTCTCTGTGAATGGGAGTTGAGTTGAGGAAAGAAGACAGGTTCTCTTGTCCAAGCCTGCCTGGAATAGTGCTTCTGGAAGACAGAGCTGTGGGCTGGAAATGAGAAGTGTTGGTGGCCACCCCCTCCCTGGGTGAAACCATATCCCTGGATGGGGAGCAAGGTGGAAAGGGAGCCCTGCCTTCTTGGTGGGATGTGCCTGGAGAAGACCTTCCTTCACACTGAGCTGGGGAAAGGAGGTTTTTAAAAATTTGGCTTTTGGAGGTGTCAGCGCAGCCATTTCTTACTAGGCACTCTGATCTAAAGTGCTGGGTGTGAGGCCTCTGCATGAAGCACCTTGTGAACAAGTGAAACTAGACAAAGCACAAAGGAAAAGAAAACAAAAAGCAAGCTGCAAACCCTCTGAAAAAAATGCCTCTGCCCCTCTAGCTCTTGTGGAGGTTGGCATCTTCAGTGGAGTCTCCTATTGAAGGGGGACCTTCAAGATGGCGGAGGAGTAAGATGTAGAGATCACCTTCCTACCCACAGATACATCAAAAATACATCTACATGTGGAACAGCTCCTACAGAACAGCTACTGAACATTGGCAGAAGACCTC